AAAAGTCTCTGTTAAAGATTTATATTAAATTAAGCTTCAGTTAAAGAGTTGTTAATATTAACCAGATATTTGATATCGCTAAAAAAAATTGTGTATTAGAATAATTAATATTTAATTTGTAAAGTACTGTAGTTAAGATATAGTAAACCACAGCTTAGTAAAAAATAGCAACAAAATAATTCCATAAAAAAAGTTTATATATAAAATATATATATAAAATATATTTAGTAAAAAATAGCAACAAAATAATTCCATAAAAAAGTTTATATATAAAATATATTAACTGTTAAACAACTTTTTATAATAGATGCAATGTAGTTTATGTGTTAAATATTACATATTTAAACGAAATGTTAAAAATCAGATGTAGTGTAAATTTATGTAAGCGGATATATTTTTCCTGGGATTATTAATTAAATTTAGATGCATTGATTTATGGTTTTATTACAATCAAATACAAATTAGCATGTTATAAAAAATTTCGAATTAAAATTTGGGTAAAATCTCAGAACAGGGGCCGTTGGGATTTGGCATCAAAATTTCTTTTCGCTATAGTCCGCCAAGCAACAAGTTGCGATTGTAAGTGAAGTGAGTTGCAAACAATACAAGAAACTCAAGCCACATTTGACAACTTATCGCTCATTTGGTGCCACAAAAAAAGACGCCAAATCCCAATGTCCCTTATTTTACGATTTGGAAAAAATTTGAATAAACATAAAAATATTAGGACATAAAAAAACGAGCAATTTTTTAATAAATTTTAAAAATTAGCATAGAAACGATCAGTCGAATGCAAAATATATCATATTTGAATAATCTTTTTATTCTACATTTTATATATAACGTTCCACAAAGGTACTTTAGTATTTCCTACTAATTTTTTTCCCAGCATTAATATATATCATATAAAAAAAAAAATATTTAGTTAACTAGAAGAATGTATAATTAAAAAAAATATTTATGCAAAGTGTTTCTGAGACAAAGGACAATGATATAATTCGTTTCGCAGTATTCTTAGAATTAAATTCTAGTATTATACTTTTTTAATGCAGTACTTGCATAGATATTAAAAAAAAGAATGAATATTATAAAAAATATTGTGAAATAAGAGTCCTTTTTATATATTTTAAATTAAAAATTCTCTTGAAGTTTTTTAATTTTTGTCAATTTTTTAGTTCGATTTTTTTTTTTTTTTTAGTTTAGTTTACTTGTTAGTTAATTTTTGTTCATATTTTTTTTAGTCTGTGGCCTGGAACGGGGATTTAACTAGTCCTAAAAAATAAATGAAATCAGAGTTGAATTTATGTTTAGAATCACTATTATGAAAAATTGCAAAAAAATTAAAATCATTTTTAAAAGTTTTTAAAATACTTTTACCAGTTTATTGTACAGGATTTTCCAAATTCGTTAGTAGGAGTTACAATTGATTTCTGTAGACTAAACTAGGGTGTAGTAGATGCCCTTTGCAATCCCTTGCAGAAACGAGGAGGTCTGACGGAGGGGGGGGTGTTGAATCCACTGTGCTCAATAGGAAATTTTCTAGATTTTCTTCCATACGACTCACAAATGTGGGACAGTTATGCCTGAAAGTCTTCCTATAAAGCAATTCTTTAAAGGAAGATTTTGTCAAGTCTTATACCAAACGCATATTATTTATCATCCATCGTTGGATTGCTTGTGGTATATATAAGTGAAGAATACCAGGCCCACTATTGAGGTACAAAAATTAATTTATTTACAAAAGTTTAAATGGAAAATAATTTTATTCATTTTGTACAAAAATCGCACTCAAATTTTTTTGTTCACAGTACGAGCTGTCAATGGAGATCTGATGGCCATGGCTCTCGGGGCCACAGGCTTCAGATTCGAGTCCCTGGGTGCCATGGATGCCATATGTTTGTATTGGTTCGAAATCCACTTTAAATTGTTGGAAACTATCTCCTGTCCTCACAGTGACCTGTATCAGTTTTTATGGACGTCCTACGGTAACTAACGTACGGTATGCAAAAACTCTCTAATACCTCCGCAACGCTATACGACCTTGTTAGATCGGGTCCTATGGTTTAAAGTAGATTCCGAACAACTACAAATATTATTTTTAATATTTTATTTTAAATTTAATTTATTGAAATTTTTATAGGACATTATGTATTACCGAATGGTTATATAGATACTTTATAAATATCACTTGCTAGTTTAAATTATTACGTAAGTCTTTAATTTCTATTCTTAATATTAAATCTAAGCCAAATTAACATAAAGAAATAAATTTTGATATTACTATTTTTTATTACTAAATTTTGATATTACTACACAGAAAGTTTCATATTTTTATTAATTAATTACACAAAAAAAAAAGAATATAGCTGCTCAAAGTGTGAAAATATTTTATCAATTTTTATTGTGATATGTAATTCGAATTTTAAAGCAGTGCAATTATGAAATTTATAGAAAAATTTAGAGACTCATAAATTTTATTTTATGGATTCAAATAAATTTTAGAATGGAATAATTCACATTATATACGGTTTTACTAAAAATATCATTACATCTACAGAAGACATTCATACATTTTTGTAAAGATTTTAAATTTGTCCATGGATTAAATTTAAACGAGTAAAACAAACTTTAATGGCATCAGTTCAGCATATGGGTTTAATTATCTTCTGCATCATTAAAATTATTTTGTTTTTATATGTCGCTAAAAGTAAACTTTATATTGAAGGCCACATTTTTGATTCTTTCCGAAGAGAAATACTTTTATCAGATTATTAAAAAAATATATAAAAAAGCATGATTTTAATATTTTTATTCGTAAAATGTGACATAATAAATAAAAAAATAAAATGAACGTCACAATCTACATTTTACTGGAATAAACGGGGATAAAATGCATACCCAACAAAGGTACGTATATCAATTATTATATCTAAAGTTGAATCTCGTGTAATAAAAAAAATACTGTACCTCTGAAGAAGTCGCCAATCTTGCAACCCTGAATATTTCCCCAATGTTTTGACAATTTCTTTAGGGTTACAATACTCTAGAAAAATTAACTTCTTTTTCCGAATAATATAATGACTATTTATTTCTACTTCGCTATTTAATTGCAGAATTTTTTAGTTATAGTAAATAAAGAAAATAAATATATATTCTGTTGTTGTTGTTGTTGTTTCTTATCCCACTTGGCTGGCCAAGCCCACAAGCCCTTATGGACTCATGATTGAAGGGGAAGGAAGCAGCTTCTGTTGTGATGGAGCACCCGTAGATAGAAGCCTGACTTTTGCTCCGTGACGCTCTTACAGTCATAGAAGACCAGGACCTACGGCTTAAGAAGTGGATTCCGAACCACTACAAACATCCATGGCACCGCCGGGATTGTGGCACCGAGCGCCAGAGCGCTAGACACTCGGCCATTCAGGTCCCAAATTTGCCAACGGCACGCAGTGTTCCCAGGGTGGTCACCCGTGGTACCACCCACGACCGCGCCCAATGATGCTTAACTTCGGTGATCTAACGAGAACCGGTATATTCAGCATGGTACGGCCGTTGGCACATATATATTCTTTTAAATATATATATATTCTATATATTCTATATATATATTCTATAATATATATTCTTTTAAATATATATATATTCTATATATTCTATATATATATTCTATAATATATATTCTTTTAAATATATATTACAATAAATTTCGACAGATTATTCCGGGATTGTTGTTATAACGCAGGTCGGACACTAATTCAGAATATAAAGAATTTCTATGATGATGCCACTCATGAAAATACGATACAAATAACAAAAACGATTTTTTTACTTTATTAATAACTTATATTTGAATATCAAATAATATTCTTTTTAATGCTGTTGATATAGTTAAGGTTTTGTGACAACTTTTATTTGAATTCGAGCTAAAAAATGCTACTTATTATATTTAGAACGTTAGTTCGCGCGAAAAACGCCACTCGAATGCATTAAATTTTTCTACTGATGATACTTTTTAATGCTGCTGACATAAGTAAGGTTTTGTGGCAACCGTTATTTGAATTCGCGCTGAAAAATGTAGCTTTTTAAATTTAGAATGTTAGTTCACGGAATAAAACGCAATTGGAAAATATTAAATTTTTCCGAGGTTTTGTGATGTTCTTCTTGTTTTCTTCAGGTTTTTAGTGAGGCAATAAAGAGACCATTTTCACCTTCAACAAAGGAAATATCAGAATAAAATGTAAGTAATTCTCTGGTTTCTTCTTTTTTATTAATATTTTTTTATCGTTCGAATTCGGCATCGTAAACAACATGAAATATTTTTGACATAACAGAAAAAAAAATGGCGTGTTAGCTAACAATTTTGGCGTAATTTTATCGTACTAGCGATTATTATCGTTATTAAAAATGACACATTTTTGTGAATGAGCAAAACAAAATTCCATATAATAATTTAGCGTTAAAGTGATAAAATGTGGCGTGAAAGCAATTTAGGAATAAAATTTTAACAAAATAGTGATATATTTTGGTGTTAAGCTGGAATATTTGGCGTAAAAGATTAAAATTTGCCATAATAGTGATAAAGCGAAATAATTTGGCGTAAGGCACTTAAGGCATAAAGTTTTGGGCATAATAGTGCTAAAATTGATGATAAAGCAAATCTGTTGATAAAGCAATAATTTTTGGCATAAAAATAATTTAAAAATAAAATTTCTCTTAGTGAAAAAAATAATTTGGCGGTAAAGCAAAAAGTTTTGGCGTAAAGGCATTTATGGAATAAAATTTGGTACGATAATGACAATATTTCGCTTTAAAGCTATAAAATTTCGCGCAAAAACTAATTAAGAAATAAAATTTGACGTAATAACTGCTTGGCTACTAATGTTGTCGTAACAGAAACTTTTTGTCTATGAATTTTGGTGGAATAGCATTTTATGACGACAACGAACCACGCCAGCTATTTTGCTTGTTTATTTGGAACTTGGCATCCTGGGTCGGATTTTGGCGTAATATCGTTTTACCGCACAAATTAACTGCAACATTCCTTATTATCTTTACTTGGCGACTTGGCATCATGGCGATGCATTTGGCATAAAGGGTACATGATTCTGTATTTTTACTAATATTTTTAGGCATAAAATAAGTGACATAATGAATAAAAAAATAAAGAAACATTAAATTTTATATTTGGAAAAAATGCATACCCAATAAAGGTACGATACATCTTATTATATCTATAAAGGAATCTTACGTTATAAAAAAATCAGACTTTATCTAAAAATATTTATACATTCTATAGAAACTGTGGTACTTACGTATTAACGCCACCGCAGCAGAAGTTGCGCCAATAAAGAGTTGCCAAAGCGCCAAAATAGTGTTTGTTTTTTGTTATAGAGACTATGTTAAACTCTATATCGGCCCATTTTTCACCGAAATCCGATTGACTACTTTGTTTTTAAATAAAGTATTTTAAATTTTGAAAGTGTTTTGATTTTAAATAAAGTGTTTTATATATTTTATGATTTGTCACAAAAATTTTAAGTGTAGATTGGCGCCACTTAAAAGCCGCCAAATCTGTAGCTGCGGCGGCGTTAATACGTAAGTACCGAAACTGTAAACAAAATTATAAAATATAATTTTGAGGATTCTTCGTTGGCCAATTGGGGACCGCCAAGAAAGTTGATGATTCATTTGCACTAGATCACTCCGGGACGTCGTTCGTTCTAATTTTTTTGTTCTAATTTTGTATCTATCTACTTCAAATAAGTGTTAATTAATGAAATTAATTAATATTAATTTATTAAATTAAATAGTGTTCATTAACTAAAGAATTAATTAGTATTAATTAAATAGATATTCCAACAGCTATATAGTGTATTTCATAACTCATATTCGTTCTTTACTTTACTTCCACATCTTATGTAAATTATCATATATAGTATTTACTCTACAATAATAATTTATTTATTTACTGCTAATCAACTAATTCCTTTACTTTTAACTAATTTTAGTTACTTTTAATTAACAGAATGCATCTTAATAATAATTAATTAGATATTCTGATAGCCACATTGTGTATTTCTTAGAGTAGATTCGTTTTTTACTTTACTTTCATTTTTTATGTACATTCTGCTGTTAGTAACGATCATTTTCTCGCCAAGTACGATCTAGTAACTAGTGTGGAAATGACCCATCGGCTTTCTTGGCGGTCGCCAATTGTCCAGAACCTCATATTAAGAGCCCATAATTTTAAACTATTTAAGAAACAACCAGCTGTAATAAAAAAATTATTTGTCAGGTGAAAATGGAAGTATGTAGTTACAATTCACGAGGTTTAGATATATTTATCTGTTTGCAGTAGAAAAAGATAATTTTTACTGTAAAAAAAGACCTAAAATATTGATTCAGAGATAGAAAGGAAAGATTTTCTAAAAGTTTTATGATTATTACTGGATTCTCTTACTGGGAATTCTCTTTTTTTGTTCTAATGCAGCTGGAAAAAACATAGACAGTTGTCTTTGATGCCTCAAGGAAAGCGCTGCACCGACGTTACTCACATAGCATTACCCAGGAGGTGCGTGTAGCTTGAAGATAAGCTACGGACGCTGAGTAACAATGCCCCGCAATGCCCTACTATCATGTTAGACTGGAACCTACGGTTTAAAGTGGATTCCGAACCACTACAAACATCCATGGCCCTCCCGGGACTCGAACCCGAAACCTGTGGTACCGAGCGCCACAGCATGAGCCACTCGGTCATTCTGGTCCCAGTGAAAACATAAAATGTCAAAATTAATTCAAAAATTAAATATGTTTTAACACTTATTATCAATATTAAATATATTTTAACACTTAATAACGATATTAAATATATTTGAACGCTTATTAACGATATCAAATATATTTTAACACTTATTATTAATTTAATTTTTAAATATTTTTTAACACCTATTTTCAAATAAGACATTCCATAACTTTACTTAAACAATCTGCACTGTGTTAAGTTTCTCCAGGGCAAGGTTACAAATCATACCTCAAAATTTAATGTTTTATATTTTGAAAAAAATTGAAAAATAAAACCAGAAATGAGACTATTCCGTTTAAATATACATTCCACCCAAATCCCCCGACGTGTCTGCAATGGATTACTGCACATTTTGGCGTTTAAAATAAGCTCTGTATAAATGACATCCTAAAACATTGGATTATGGAGACGGAAGGAAATAAAATTAACCTTGATATTTTAAGAAAAGCTCTTTTATCTTGGAAATCAAGACGTAATATGATATTTTAACAAAGGGGCTATGAGGCAGAACAAGTTAGAAAATAAAATTAGCTCTGGCGCTCGGTACCACAGGTTTCGGGTTCGAGTCCCGGCGGTGCCATGGATATGTGTAGTAGTTCGGCATCCACTTTAAACCGTAGGTCCCGGTCTAATAGGATCGTAGAGCGTTGCGGGGGCATTGTTACTCCGCGTCCGTGGCTTATCTTCAAGTTACACGAGCCGCCTGGGTAATGCAAAGTGAGTAACGTCTGTGTAGCACTTGCCTTAAGGCATCCAAGACGTCCATGTCTGTTTGCCAGCTGCATTGGGGAAAAAAATATTATAGTAAATGTGTCGTTGCTTGCTTATGCAGCTTCAATTTGGGTGTGGTGTACTTGAGTCACAAGTCCAATAACACATCCATTTGACGCGCAGAAGTACTACAATTACAATTAAAAAAATAAGCGATATTTAGCACACAGCTTTATATTTAAAGAACATTAAACTAGAGATTTAATGGAAGAATTTTACTTTTAGCTTTCAGGATGAGAGATTGTAATTCAGCGCCAGTTGCGCCATGCGTCCTCTCGTGAGAGTAGTCTGTTTTTTCTGAACGCCGAAAGGGGCACTCTTGCATTGCGTAGGAGGAAACATCGAGTAGGGGGTATATATATATATATAAATATAACCGATCAGTTAGCTATCAAATGCTCATCAACATGTCATTATGACGTTGTGCTAAGGCTGATTGATTTTCAAGATTTTCAATATCATCTCAGTTTGCTTTCGTTACTTTATATGCTTCGAGAAAAGTCAAAAGCAAATATAAAAATAATGCACATGGTAAATGAATAGTTCGAGAAAATTTTCGATTTGATCATATTTGTCCCAATTGTGTTCATGCACAAGACATCCAAATAAAACAGAGAATCCATATCTTCAAGCTACACGTGCTCCCTTGAGTAGTGCTAAATGAGTAACAGTGCTTATGACATAAAGATTAACTGTCTCTGTATTGCCAGCTGCATTAGAACAACAACAATATGAATAATAATCAGTTCTCTTTAAACGGGAAAAATATCAAAAAAATTTTAATTGATAGAAAAAGGACAACTGTTTCGAAACATTAAATTAATATTAAAAAAAAAAAAAAAAAGAATCATTTCTTTTGAAAATCGTTGCATGGTAGGATTTTTATTTTCTCCTTTCGTCAATAGTATATATTGCTAAAAAAAATCACCAAGCTATCCTCGAATATGTTAAACTACAAAACCTAAAAATACATGACTAAAT